TCAAGTTGTCCGTAGACCCTCCTGATACCCCTGATATAAGGTATTCTCATCATAGACAGCCAGTGAATGGATGCCTCGAAGAGACAGTGCAATATAACATGACAACGCAATAAATACAACAATATAGAGAGTAACTTAGAATGTTTCCTTTTTTCATCCCAATCCAATAACTCATTATCTTGCCTACCAACCATAAGCCAGACTATTGTAATGGCAGATGAAGAAGAAATTTCTTTGTCATGTCGCCTCTGTTTAATAGCTGCTATAACGATAACGATAATAGACTTTTTATTGATCGACAACAAATATCAATCTACCAGATTGCTCCATTCACGTAAAAATCATCGTACATTGTATAGCTAGAGTGACGAAAAGGCACAGCTACAGGATATATTGTATGTACACGGGGCAGAATCGTTAGATTAACATGTTTCCAAAGAAACAAGACAGTCCTATTACACTTAGTAACATCCACACAGTATAGAGCGAGCTTTTAGTGCCTCTAACCGCTTAATTTCCGCATTCCCTCACTCACCAGAATGCCAAAAGATTAAGGGAATAACCAGAATGCTTCAAGTAGCCCCTTCATCACAGCGCTGTCACGGAGACGGTAATATACAAAGGGTTTTAAGAGCTACCAGAATCAAATCAATCTCAACGTTTCCTGCATGGAAAAGGAGTGCAAGGGCAAATACACATATGTTACGTGATGTATGAGTATGCAAGAAAACACATTGTAACAGAGGACGTTCACGATAACGGACACCTAATCAACATTATTATGAGCTAGAAATAAAATCATAGCGAATGTAACATTACAATCATGATTGCGTACTATACAACGATATTATAACATATAAAATTCTGGAAATATCACAACTTCACGATCATTCTCCACAGAACATACAAATATGGCAAAGTGCGTAAGTTAATCATAGTAAGGAAGTTGACAACGAAGGGCAAGTTTCACTTACCAAACGCTTTCGTTAGGGCTGAAAAACCGTTTCTTTTTATTGTCGTCGTCGTCGTCGTCGTTGGAGCCGGTTTACGATATGAATTTTCTTGTCGCATTGGAGGAACTCAAATAGCATGTCATTAATGCGACATAATCACTATACATAATTTGGACCTTCTTTTCCTAATGAATTCTGATCCTTTCTACGTGCAAAAATGCAGCTTTATGAGAAAATTTTATTACTTTTCACCTTTATTGATATTACGTCATTAACATTTTCTATCCATCTAACCACAAATGTGCAGCACGTCCCGTTCACCATTTATTTCACATTTAATAATATTAGGTTGTCTGATAATTAACGCCGATTTCTTCCAAATAGAACTTTTCCTCTTAAATTCCACTTTTTTACATTAGGTCTCTACGATACAAAAGAGATTTATCTGCTCTTCTCAAACCATGTTTTGGTTTTACATTCGCTATAAATGTATGAATTTCAAGCTAGCATAGCGGGATCGTATCGACGAGAACTGGCCAAACTGTCCCCAATTGACTCCTACTTTGAAAAAAAAACAATCAATGATTTACCTGCATTTTGTACAGACCACATTAAACATTCCGGACAAAACAAAAACCATCATTGTCTCCCCCGTTTGCCGCATTTAGTGTCCAGCGCCCACTCTTTAAAACACTTCCGCGTCACACTTCTATGGCTCTCCAACACTGTTGCTACCTTTTTCCGGTTTATCTATTTTAACTCGCTAGCGGTCTTTTAATGGAGTTAGGTCCCCCCCCCAAACTTCCATTTAACGCGAGTGGTGTAGGTAAGTGGCACCCTTACCACGTCGACGCGGTCCAAAGATCAAATCTGGTCGTGATCGCCCAGGCCCACCCCAACCACAAGCCCTTCCAACACATCGGTGTCGTTAGTTGTACAGGCTCTCTGGAGATAAAAACATGATTTACATCCCTGCCCCGCCAATCATTAGGCCACATCGCATTCAAACGCCACTACGATTGTACAAATGAAAGTAGAATGCGTTCCGCATCCCAAAAAAGGATTGATCAACGGCAAATGCTTTATCCTTTCAATTTCTATGTTTGAAATTTATTTCGTAAGCTTTTTTCCACTGTATATGACCACATGATTCGCACTGAATGTCTTAACAGAGTAGTTCAAATTGATAGCTATGCTACCCACTCGACAAGAATACGACTTTACTTCAGGAACTGTTTTCCACTGAAAGCATGCAAAGTCAAATCGATGTTATCCCCTGCTCAGCCTCATTCTCTTCTGGGGCGGTATTCAATCCTTCCCCAGGGGTTGGGGGACGAAAATCCCTTTAAATTTTCTCTGTCTTCCCAACTGGGATTGTCCTGATAAAGGGCTAGGTTTAATGTATGTATGTATGTCACAGTAAGCATGCATTGAAAATGAAGAAACTACATCGTTAAAAACAAATAAATTTAAAGGGATTTCCGTCCCCCAACCCCTGGGGCGGTATTCAATCCTTCCCCCAGGGGGATATATCCCCCTCCTCTGATTCAATCCTCTGGGGGGACAAAAAAGGGTTGCGTCATAGGACCTAGCATACCTCTGTGTTTCTACCTGCCAGACAGTTAGAGCAGCGCGACCCCTCAGGGAAAGAGTGCTTCATCAGTGGAGGGTAGTAGCGCTGCTCTAACTGTCTGGCAGGTAGAAACACAGAGGTATGCTAGGTCCTATGACGCAACCCTTTTTTGTCCCCCCAGAGGATTGAATCAGAGGAGGGGGATATATCCCCTGGGGAAGGATTGAATACCGCCCCAGAACATTCCACCCGTTTTTTTGTCCATTAGTGGTGAGAACCTCTAGGACTGGTTCAACGAGACAGTGGTCAACCATTGAGTTCTGAAGGAAATTTAACTTAAAAAAAAACGCTTAAGTTTTTTAGAATCTCACGGCGATGTCTAGATAGTTAGTTTGAGTGGAGAATAAATCGCTGATTGATCTTCAAATGGGAAATTAGACTAGTTACCGGATTGGCTGATTTCGCCGACTGGATCTCTCACATCGAAAGTCTCAAATTTTAACTATGCAACAAAAATAATGAGTTGAAGAAAATTTTTTGCGATGTTTCAAATTTTTCCCAATTTTCCTAAGATACCCCTGGAGAATTCCTAACTCGAATTTAGACGACATATTGTACACTAAAAAAAACAATTATATAAATGATGCTAATCGTTTAAAAGTGTTTTAATTTCAGGGATACAAATAAAAACAAAACCCAATGCCGAAATTGTCGAGAACCCCAAAAAAACAACGAACGGTTTTTATCACGACTTAACATCTATTTCAAATAGTATAGACGAGATGATAAAGAAATATTGAACTTTAAGGAAAAATTCCTATTTGAACAAAAAAACATAATTTATCGAACAACCTAATATGCGTAGCCATTGGCATATGCCACAGACAATACATGACAGTCATAGCCCAATCGATTCCACGCGAATACGGTATGTTATTAAAAATAGAAAACTGTTATTCAAAACGTTATGCGTCAAATTACATCGTCACTGTTATCGTAATACGATGGCACTTTCTTTACTATGCTAGTAACCCTCCGATAAAGACTTATGAGTTTCTGAGTCATATCATTAGAAATATTGTCCAGCATAGTACCAAAGCTCATTGGAACTTACAAGGCTTGCATCGACTCGACTACAGCTTTGAATAATCTAGCAAAAATACAAACTGTATGCTCTTCCAAAAGAAACCTAATGATAACACCGATAACAATTATCGTATGTAAGCAAAAAATTCCATGAGCCCCAAGTTATATTTTATCCCCCTCCTTGCCCCTCCCGTCGAAACCGATAGACGAAGGATCAACCTGGTGAATAACAGTCCCATACCTGTACCTCAAATTTTCAATTCCATCACAAATGACGACGCGCCCACCCAAACAACCCCTTCGGTTATGCTACACCCCTTCTTGACTAGCAGTGGGCGAAGCTTACGTAACGCATAGCTCACACGCAAAGATAAGAAAAACCGTGAAATCGATGGGGCGAACGTTAAACCAGATGCTAGTCCCACTCGTCCTTGTTTTACAACGTTCACCCACTAAAAACCACCGATATGTGCATTTTCTCGCTTTATGCTAGGAAAAGGAATACATAGCATTCTGAAGGTGAATAGAAACATCACAAAAGCATGCTTCACCTTACCTAGTCGACTAGCCGCTCCCATCTGCGGTTGTGGAGGTACTCGATGTGGTGGCTCCGTACGATAAACTGACGGATCGTTCTTCCTCGCTTCACTACTACCACCCCCTCCACGTGGTAAACTATTACTACGTTTTGTTGGCGACGACGACGTTGGTGCAACTAGAAACACCACAATCACACTCACCAATACACAAACACCACTGCTGTACTTGAAGAAAAGTGATCCAATTATCAGTATATCGAAGCGTTATGAATTGCTCTTCTCAGTGATCGTGGTTATGCACTACTAGCACTCTACTCATGCACTAATTCGAAAACAAAGTTGTGAAAAACACATGTCGTGAGAACATAATTCATGAAATACCTAGTGTGGAACTCCTTACCCACCACAAAATTCCCTCACTTTCCTATGCTTTGATGAGCTAATATCTTACAACAAAGTGTAAACTGAAAGATGCGATGCTACTGGCTAAGTGAATCTTTCTAAGAATTGAACCAATGTGCGCGAATCGAATCAACTCACAATTACAACCTCCATACAAAGTATGGTGTTCCTAAAACGCTTGATGATCGCATAGATACACTTACACAGATTTGACGAACAGTAGAAGCAATTATTTCATGGTGCGAATATTGTGAACTAGAAGAATATCCAACGAAGACTACCGTTAGTGCAGCCATGGATTCTATTGCCGGCTTCTAGCTCTTGGCAATCGGCTCAGCATAACGGGAGGAGGTGGACCTTTGTGCTACCCCAATCCCATTCGGCGTCTTTGTTCGATGGAGACGACCGGCACTCTAAAAAACACGGCATCCACTGGCAAAAAAAAAAGTGAAATATACAGCTGATAGCAAAAATAGTGAAGCCAGGAGAAAGTAATTGACTGCAAAGTAGCATGACGGGATAAGTGGATCTACTAGCGTCAAAAAGAGATTGGCTAAGTACTACTTGCCTAATTTTCAGTAAACATGAAGACTTCAGTTAACGAAAACAAACACAATACTGATGGCATATTGAATCTAGAGCCAATAACTCGCCCTCATATGCGAGGGATCTTACAGCTGATGAGAGAATGACCAACGTCTCCAATTTCATGAATTTCACAGAAGTGCATGAGCCAAGAGTATTTATACAAGGCCGTAAAAATCCCCACTACACTTGTTGTACGCAGCGCTAGCTCAGTAAAACACACGTTATACTAAAAAATCACCTGGGTGAAGGAAGTCCCCTTGCTGGCGAAGAAGGAGCACGAGGTAAGCGACTTTTCTCAGCTGGAAAACTGCTAGATGTTGCTAGTCTTGTCCGAGATGACAGCGTACCAGCAGACATCGCGGGAGCAGCCGATGATGATCCACCAATGGACGATCCGGCGGACGTCGCCATCCGATTAGCTACCACCAACGATCCTCCAGTGTCGGTCAACTGTGGGAGATGCTGGAATTAGAGAGAAGTAGATCACAAATACTTAACCTCAGACTAAAAACATTCAGAGATTATCACAGAACCAAAGCTGCACAACGAGCAAGTGTTTACCACAAAAAATGTAAACTAACTGTTGCAGGCTTGTCAAACGTCAGCTTCGTTGATGAGATCAGGTTCTTACGCAGCATCAATAAGTCCGCCTCTTGGCCCTTCACAACCTCCTTCAGGCTTAGATTTTCGGCCTGAAACATGAAGCATTAAGCTAATCACGACATTCACGTGAAAAAAAGAACCAAGGGAAAAATAGTTAGTTGAAACAAATTACAGAAAATCAAAATAGCGAGACATGTTTCATGACCTTAATCAATGATACTCAATGAGACAAAAAATAAGAGCAGCTGAAGCTTTTGCCTCCATTTTATTCGAGACTGAATTTTGCGAGATCAAAATACATGGTGTTGCTCGCAGCTTAGCACAGAAATAGAGGAAAAAACCAACAACCTTTAGAGACTTATTTGCATTTTTCAGCGAATCGCGTTCCTCTCGTAAAAAGCCGACTTCCTTCTTGAGTTCCTCTAGCAACGCTTGATCACCCGGCGTCATTAGAGCTGAAGACAGTCAGGTAAAAATAATTGCGGCTGAAGATTCTCGATGAACAGCTAATTAGAAAGGCAACTACATAAAAAAAATCACTCATCAAAGATTAATAACGAGAGTAAAGCACAGCTTCTCACCATTTGATTCAGATTTAACCCGTAATTCGTGCATCTTCACTAACATCTGTTTGCGCTCATTGATGAGGAACAATACCATAGATTTGTGTCGTTCTCGTTCTGCCTCAAGTTTTCGCTCCACTCTCTCCGTTTCTGCTTTACTCTCAGCCACCTCGTTGATTTGGATCTCCAACTGCAATTTGAAAGAAATTAATGTATTTTCGCTCGTTGAGAATAGTAGCATCAAGACAAGAATATTTAGTTCAATTCCGATCTGATAAGGCTGAATGTAGTTGAGCATTTAGGCATGAGAGGGCATTTGCCGATCAAGGATGTACAAAGCTAAAGGATAATTGGGGAAAGTACCCAAAGCCTACACCTTCCTATCCTCCCTTCCTCTCCACGGCTGTTGTAGGGGAGAATAAACCAAACCGTGAGGAGCTACAGAATGCTTTAAAGTGGATAGGGGTTATTCTGAACCCACTGCACAAAACTCACAATACTACAGAATTTCGGGGCACTAATCAGCCGACGCCGACATACAACGGGGTGACCTCCCAGATTTGAAGATGTTCAGTGATGAAGTGTGCAAGGAGGCGTTTTTATCGGATCGATATTTCTTTCCTTAGAAGAACTAGTAGGGGAGGGAGGAAACAATACTTCACCAAA